ACACGACGACGAACCTCGTCATTACTTACCCGGTTTTCCCACCAGACAAGAACAATCCTTCGGATACATCGGTGGTCAAATACGGAAAGTCGATTAGCATTCTCAACCCGGAGGGGCCAGGTCTCGCAACCGTAGAGGAGAATGCTACGAACCGCGGCGAAGTACACCCTTTTTTCAAGGGACAGTCGGATTTCATGGCGGCGCCACAGGTGTCGCAGGTTGGTGAAAGCTGCTCTAGCTTTCGCTATTCGTGATGTGATCTCCTCCTCAACACCCCACCAGGTGCGATCAAGCTCCCGAGGTACTTACAGCTCTCAACTACTTCCAGCTGATCACCACAGGGCGAGTGCATGCACAGGCTCCTGCCAGTTTGGAAAAAGCACTTTGCACTTGGAAGGTGCAAAGCACATACCATACCTGGATACCTCTATCGCCAAGCGGTTTAAAGCGTTTTGGACTACCTGTGTGTTGTTACCCAGCAAGGCGATGTCATCGGCATATTCCAACTCAAGAACTCTGTTCCCTGGGACGAGTTCGACTCCACCGTTTGCTAGACCTGACAAAGCATTCTGTAGAACATCCTCTATGGCGAAGTTGAAAAGAAGTGGGGATATAGGACAGACTTTCCGAACTCCACTGGAGACGGCGAAGGGTGGCGAAAGTTGGTCATAGGCCCCAACCCGATTTGAGGTATGACGATACAACTCTTTGTTGTGCTACAGTTTTGGTCACTGACTTTCAGCTACTCGCTCAGTCGACGAATGAAGAGGGAGTAAATGGAAGAGTTGAAAGGTAAGAATAACAAAAGAATGATTCAAAAAGCAAGGAAATGAATATATATATATATATATACCACTGAATAACTCGAAAATTGCAACTTGGTTTATTGACTGCTCAATGGAAAGGAACCGATAAAGATCTTGATACGTAGGTCGATTTGCTGTTTGACTGTAGTCCACGATCATGCGTTTCGTACATATTTCATCGAAGGTTAGCAGAACTGATACCCGCTAAGGAAACCTTGGCGTTTCGACAATATTCGTGTTCACTAGTTTCCGGATTTCGACTCGTGTGTATGATTTATCTGGTGTTCAGTGGCGTCGTGGCCTGTTTGATCTGGGCGGGCGTCAAATGGCAAGTCCTCAAACGGAGCTTGCGGTTCTGTTTTCGCCGCAACGAGGGCGCACATGGAAAAATTTGGCCTGTAGTCTCAAAAAGGAGTTTTGGTTGTTTTTTAGTTGGAGAAATTCGTGCCCCAATGATAGGTTTGTACTGAGACTTTACATTAGGAATAACCTTCAGTGTTCATAGTTCAAGCCTTTTCATGTGATGGAGGCCAAAGCGAGGACATTGTGTGACACTTCAAAAATTCGTGGACGCCATCGCGATCTGGCTCCATGAGGGTGTCATATTGAAGTTTTGATTTTGAACAACGGCTTTAGATGCACAATCCTCGGAACTTTCTGTATTGATAAGTGCCCCGTGCGCACGAATGATGAAGTCTGTTTCAATGTATTACCCTGTACAATAATGGACACGCAATGAGAAGTAGCAGTCATCGCACAACCGCTGTAATTGCTATTGAAGACAGAAGGGGCTCGACAGCGGATGCAACTCGTTCCATTGACTGTGAAGCGAAATAAACTTGTTGGTAATGTTTCTTCCCGCACAGAAAACATCTTGAGCAAGACATTTTGGTCATGGATGATGATGTTATGCACAACGGTAATAGTGAGATATACTAAAACCCTTTACTGGTTTCGTTGCAATAGAAAGAACGGTGGGTATGATCGCTGAGGACTAAATTGTCAAAAACAAATCAAAGTTAAAATCCATAATACCGACCAAGTGGTTCCTGTGAGATTTCTGGCGTCTGTCGCTTTTGAAATAAGACAAAAAGCTTTCAATGCCAATTGTTTCCCATACACAGGTCTTTTTATTCCCTATATTCCCCAATTTGGACACAGCTTCCGTGTGTGCTTACAGCACAAACTTTTTGCTGTAGCTTTGCGGCTTGAATCACTCTAGCTAGTGTAACTCACTCATTGGTGGTAGGCAGCTTTTCTGTCGTCCGGTTCAATACCACGCCTAACCTAGCGGGGCCTCATGTGGTTCACCCCACTCCAAGTCCCGGGGCTTAGGTTGCCGGTTTCCATCACTGAACAGCAAGTCCTCGTGACCATGGGGTTCACCCCGTCTGCTGTTCATCACACTCAAATGTGTAATTAAGAAATTTCTGAGGGAAACCTTTTCATTTCTTTTCACTAGTAATCAGGGATGTATTTCGCATTGATCCTCCCATCACAAGTTCCGCTGCCTTGATGAACAAATTGCGGTGTTTGGATTAAATGAGCACAGCAGTTGCAAACGATTAGGCACGTTCAGCAACATGCGTATTGTACACGGATTACTGAATATCTTGAATATCCGCTATCAGAGGGACTGATCGCTCTTTAGGAGTACGCCCAAAGGATAGAACATGGTATCGTCATCGTCAATAACAACTATCATTTTCATTCTCGTGAAGCGAAATCTGGTGAACCGCACTTCAGTGATCGTATACCAATTCCAATCGTGACTTCAGCCCACATGGTCAATAGGTTATGAACCAACTAATTGTCTAACGATCAACACTTTTTTACTTAGTATGTGCAACAATAAGAAGCTCAGTCACAACGATCTACTATTCTGTTCTGAGAACCTGACATTCGTATCATCCACGCCACAACAACTTTCCTATGTTTCGAATGAGAAGGATTTTGAGTTCATTGTTCAAGACGACCTAATTTGTTCTTTAAACTGCTCCAGGGCGTCATCTATTACTGTATGACATGTTGGTTTGCGAGTATTTGACAAATTTGAACCTACGATGTGCCCACGGTTGTTATGAGCCCACATTTGACCCCACATAGAGTATGCAATTCAAGCGTGGAATCCATGGCTGCAACGCGATTCTGGAACGTCCACAAAGAATGGCAAAGGGACTACATTCCAAGACTTATGTGGAAAGACTGGAATCGTTGGGGCTGTACTGCACACAGTATTGCCGAACTCGAGGGGGACTTGGTTTTGGTGTATCAAATAATGCAGAACGCTGATCACACATCCCGTTCCGTGTTTGCCTTGTCGCCCAACACATCTCAGGGGCTCTCATTCAAATTGGTGCTCCAAAAATATCCACTAGAATGCCGGTGTCATTCATTTGCCCTCAGTGTGCACTATTTGGAATTCTCTACCACCCCACGTTTCTGCGCCCGCAGTTGATTTTTTTAAGCACAACCTGCATGAAACTTTGACAAGTCTTAAATTTCGACTTCCGTAGCAGTTTTTATTGGTGTGTTCTCCGAGCTGCAATCGTTCCACATTATTTCCAACATCCGTAGCAGTGCCCGAAACAAGGATAATTTGTGACACTCATCTTTCTACGAACCGAAAATCGATCCATTTATGCTCATTCCTGTGGGACAAGAAGAGCAACCGCTTGTAAGTTTCTCCCATAATAAAACTGACTTTCTGCTTTGGGTTTTGGAGTAGAGCACTACACAGGCCCCCAAATAGAATATGCGGGCTTTTGAGCAGGACGACAAAGAAACTACTCACCAAAAGTGCTGCACACTGTGAAAATCTGTGTAGAGCCGAGCGCCCACGTGTTCCCATTACTGGAAACTGTGAGAATCAACCCATGTTTCTATGTCCGTTTTCCGTTGTGCTCTTACCATTGATTGATACGTTGATTCTACGTGTCCATATCGTTATCGACTGATTTGTCAGACGGCTACTCACTCACGTCACATTCGTTGTTCTAAGGTCGATTAGCTTCAGCCTGTCAGACTTCACTATCACACAGAGTAATTTGT